TCTTTTGATTTTTCTTTTTAAATTATTTATATTTATTACCAATTCTTGGTGGTAAAGATGAAAAAATATGAAAATTATAATAAATAAAGAGCAATAATAGTGCAAGGACCTCTCGCTCGGATGAATAAACTACAACTCAACCCAAAAACTAGATAAATTTAATTCATATATAGATATCTCAATATTTACTTACGTGTAGAACGTAAAAGTAGAAAAGTAGCTCTCCAAAGATGATTACAAACTGATTGTTAACAAATATTTGATTTTGGAAGTTGCAGTTACAGCTGAGTTTAGGTGGTAAAAGCTTTGAAAATGGTGGTGGAGCGATGGTGAATAACAATGAAGATGAAGAAGAAGATGGGTGCAGGTGCAGCAGCATTAATATTACATCAAGAAGATCAGAGATGGCCGATACATTACTTTCTCTCTCCCTCTCTCTCTCTAGTCCTTCATCCACACCATCACCACACCAAAAACAACACTCTGGAGATCAAACAAATATACCTCAAAATCAAAGCCTCACTACTTTAGGATCTGACCAATGCAACACAAAAATTTAGGCTAAGAACCTGCTCTGATCTGTGCTACCTGAGATCTTGTAACTACTCTGTGTCCTCTCATGATCATGTCCATTAAGTTAACATTTATCATTTTTTTTCTTAATGGAAAGCAAAATTTACATTAATATTTCTTTACTCCATTTCTCTTGTGTTTCTTCATCCTCTGTTTTGAACAAAATGATACTTAAAAATTGGTGCTTTTAGGTCTTTTTTTTAAGAAAATAATCTTATCCCAGTTGCCATTATAATGTGATTTGTGTTTCATCGACTCTTAAAATTTTATTTCATAAGATCAGAATTGTACTTCCAACACATCTTTTCTTTTCTTGTAGTCGAGCAACTTTCACAACGCCGGCCGGTTTGAGTTTATAAAGATTTTTTAGGGTTTATTTTAATTTCGCATTTCAACTTTTTGAAAATTCAGTTCTAACCTTTATAAAGAAAATTATATTTGGATCTTATCTTTATTTTATTTTTGACAAATTAATAATGTTTCTTACCCTTGAAAAGGTGGGCATGGATGTCTCCCATCTAAGAATTTTTCTTTTAAATTCTAAAATAGATGTCGTGTGACTTACGTTAGTGAATCTCTATAAAATTTGAATGTGAGACTCTTCAAGGTAGATTGTACTCAAGGCTTCCAATTGCTTTATCGGATGGAGTTACGAAATTATCATAAAGTGATTTTTGATGAATAATAATTTTAATAAAATGACTTTCATAAAAATATATTGAATCAATTTGATTATTTTCAAAATAATTTTTATTTATAACCAAATACCCTATAAGTTAACCAAACACCATTTTAATTGCAAGCGATTTTTTTTTTTTTTCCTTTTTAGAACAAATGTCTCACCTCTGCTGCTCGTAAAAGCGATGGTTGGTTGAAAATGATTATATAATTATTGGAAAATTCAATTGTTTATTTTTCTAAATTCTAATATCAACATAGGAGATTTCAATTGTTGATTTTTATAAATTCTAATATCATCTATTGGAAAATTCAATTGTGGATTTTCCGTGAGAAAAAGACGGCGACATGAAACCATTTTATCAGTTTGACATTACAATATTGAAAAGAAATAAGTAAATGAAATTATATCTTTAGAAATTCCATTATTCTTTTGTACAATCCAAATCACCTCTTTATAATAATTATTTACATTAGGGAAAGGAATTCATTTCTTTATATTATGAAGTAAAATTCTTATCCCATCAATTATAGGAGTGACAAATAATTTATTTTGCACGTAATTTTTTTTAAGTTAACCAAAAATGGATAGTGGGAATCGAAATTTCAAATAAAAAGATACATATAATAGCTACCTTATCTACTAAACTATGCTCACCTGTGACGTGGAGTACAATTCAAAACTTCTTTTTCAATCTCATGAATAAGAAATTTTTTCTATGTAGTTTCTACCAATTACCAAGAATACCATGCATTGACACTCAGTTCCACAAAATTTTGTGAAATAGATGATTTAGGAAAAATAAATTTTACAGCCTAGAACTTTAAACATGAACTTTAACAAATGTTGAGGGATAAAAGGAAAATTTTAAAGGTTAAAGAACCCAAAATAAAAAATAAAAAAGTTAAATAAATACAAACAAATACATAATTAAGAAAGTAGAAGCTATTACTTTGGGTGGTAGGAATATTAAGAATGTACACTCACAAAACCAAATTCCATAGAAGCAAAATGATGTGGCCTAAAACTTCCTTTGAAGAAAAATCTGAATTTATTGAGAAATTAACTCCATTCGCAATCTCAATTTATTGAGTAATTAACTACTAATTAATTTAGAAATTTAGTATATTAATTTACTAATATCAAAGAGCATTTCCTATGGGAAAAAAAAGCACACAAATATAACATATATATTTTGTAGACAAAATATCAAATTCAGAATCAGCAACCGCCGCCGCCACCACAACCTCCGCCCCCTCCGCCACCACCACCACAACCGCCGCTGCCGCCACCACCACAACCTCCACCTCCACCTCCACCAGCTCCACCTCCACCGCCATTTCTTTTCTTAGGATTGTCACTAGAGTCTCCACAAGCAAATACGATCATTGATATGAGAGATATCGATAAAAAGATGACCGAAAGCAAAAATAACCCGCTAGAGCTGACCAAGGCGACATCTCCATAGCTACCGCGATCGGTTGCAAGAATTGATCGGGTCATTTTTTGCGCAGGAGAATTTGTTGAACGATGTATATTTTGAAGAGAAGGTTTGGTATTTATAATGATTGTCACATTTTCTGTGTATTAATTTTCTCAAAGAACGCTAAGAGTCGGGGGTGAACTTTCCAGGAAAATATTGATTAACTAATTGTATGGGAACACTCTTTGCTTGCAAAATAAGTTTAGGAGAACATTCAAATGTGGATCTTCCGTCAACAACGAACCGCCCTTTAGAAAATATGGTTACTTAACGAATATAATCTTTTTTATATAATTAATTTAAATCTCATTTTCCTCTATTAAATCCTACATTGAAAGCGTCTATCTTAGAACTTTTGGAACTTTTAAAAGGTAAAATTTTTGGGTTTGTAACTTTTAAATACCTATTTTATTGCTGTCAATATCTACCCCGCTCTATATAGCATGCTCACTTCGATATATAAATGCTAACAATAAAACAATGTAGATACCAAAATTATTATTTAAAAAAAAGATCATAGATAAAAATATGCATATGAATATTCAAGTATCAAAATATTTTTTTATTAAGGACAACGGTGCTGCCCATCGCATCCCTTGTACTCCACAATATGATATGATATTGTCTACTTTAATATTGTTCTAAGGTCTTAATTGTCTATCTTAATATATATGATCACTTTCTTCTCTAGTTAATGTGTGACTTTGTTTGTAATCACCTTACAGACCCTAATAGTTTTTATTGAAGCATCAAAAAAGTTATTATTGAAAAGTTCAAAGACTAAAATAAAGATTTTAAAATTTAAGAACTAAATAAAATAAATAAACAAAATTTAGGAATCAAAATATATTTTAATTAATTATAGAGAGCACCTTATTCAAAAAATAATAATAATAATAAATATTATATAGGACTAGATTCAATTGCATGACATTTTTTTTAAATAATAGTTGGACGGTAAGATACACCAAATTGGGAGTATGCAGTTGGGGGTTTGTATGACTCAATGACTATCACTCGTCAAATTTATTTATTTTATGCACGGATGTTTTAGGAAAATAAAAGGTATTTCAAAATCTAAATTGTTATAAAATAAATTTTGATTAAAACAAAATAGTTAACCGATTGCTTGATTACAAATTTTTTCCTAAAGATAACTTTAAATAAATTTCGTGTTGCGCATGAATACATACGTGTGCGATTCACATATTCACGATGGTCTTTTTTTTTTTCCCCCTCGCATAAATTTCTAGTGATAGGGATAAGAATATTAGACTCTCCCAACTTTATATCTGCCTTCATCAAAAATATCAATACAAAAAAAATATCACAGAAATATCTCTACTTCTTTTCGAAGAAGTAGAGATATTTTGATGTAGAGTTAATTAAGCTAACTTAATTATGGAACAACTCAATAACTTTTGTTTTTATTATCAATCATATTGAAATAATTTCACCATCAAAAAATACTTCAATAAACGAATCATAACCATAACATTAGCTTTGTCTAAATCTATATTAAGTACGTCATATGAATATTTATTTATCTCATAGTAATTAACATGATACACATATAACAAATAAAATCAAAGAAGAAGAAAAAAAAGCACACAACAAATAGAAGATAACTACATCATGACAGCCTCATCTAAAATCAAACTCACTCCCTAAAATCATGCCTTCAAACTCTGGAGGATACGAAGGTACATTCACTCTATACAGTCATCAAAATCAAATCTCTTTTATAATTATGACATTTCTATCCTTTCTTTCTCCTTTATAATCTGCTTTATTGAAATGAAATGGTTCCAGTATTTTTTATATAAAAAAGACCATCTAATGATTTTAAAAAGAAAAAAAAGGAAACAGAACATATTTTATATACATCCATAAAATTAAACTAGCATTCCATCAAAATAGCGCGAGACATGATTAAACATCAATCCCCACCGCCGCCGCAACCCCCACCACCACAGCCACCGCATCCGTCGCCTCCACAGCCGAAACTCCCACCGCAATCATCTCTTCTCTTTCGAAGATCACGAGAATCGTTGCAAACAAATATGATCATCGATGTGAAAGAGATAGATAGAAAGATGATAGAAAGCAAAAATAACCCACCGGAAAGGGTGACATCTCCAAAGCCATCACCGGCGGTAGCAAGAATTGGCCTTGCCATAATTTTTCACTTAATGAAATTTATTGAATGCTAAATATTTTCAAGCGTTATAATTTATATGAACACCCAAAACTTATAGTATTTGTAGTGAATGCCACGTTAGTTAACTGTATAACACTATAGGCTTAATAGAAAATTACTTTCCGTACTGATAACTTGAAAGAAAATGTTAGATAGATGTGAAATTTCCCAAAAAATATCCAATAATTTAATTGTATGTGTCACTCTCACTATTGCTTGTAAAAGAAATTTAGTTGAAAATTCAACGGTGGATATTTTCCATGATACATCAGCTGTTGCCCTTTAAAAAAAGTGGTAATATATAAGGAGGATAATAATTATTATTAGTAGTAGTAATTTGGTGGTTTAATTTAGTTGTCATTGGTATATAATAATTTTGGTTTAAATCTATTTTACATCTAAATTTTTTGTTTTTCTATTTTCATTTGTAAATTTATAAAATATCTAGGTACTTTTTCACCCTACTCTCCAATTATAGTTTTGCTTCCAATACATGAAATAACGCAATATAATATCTCAAAATAAATAAAATAAAAATAACACAGTATAGGTATATATTAAAAAATAATGCAAATATCAAAATCGTTATTTTTTAAAAAAGTTTATGGATGAAAAATAGATATTTTAAAAGTTATGACTAAAATAGTTTTATTTAAAATCAACGAGGACTATGACAGAAATAAATATAAATTATATGATTTTCAAGAGCTCTGTTTAACTAAAGAGGAGAGATTGGAACAAATTATTTACACCGACTAATTGAGCTGATATATCCCTTAAAATATATATATTCTTAGAAGTCTATGTTGACCAAAAAAAATTAATATATCATTTTTGGAATTAATGTATAGATAAGCATGGGTAAAGGAGAAAAAGAAAAAGCATAATAATAAATATATGCAAAAATTAATAATAGAGTATATAGTTTTGACTTTGGAGGCACGGGCGATGGTTGGTTGAAAGATGAGGATTTGTCCATTAGAAAGCAAGAGGGTGAATATGACCTTTCCAATGATTTCAGCCCATTCTTCTTATTTTAGATAAACATTTTAATTAAGGCAACTTTTTTAGTTCACTTAAAAACCTCTTACTTCAAAGAGGAAGAATGAACAAAATAATGAATAAAATACTTTAAAATGTTGAGTTATGTTCTTGTTGACTTGATTTTGAGAAGATATGTTAATTTTAGTCACAATTGCATTTAAAAAAATAAATTCAAAATGAAGTTTTTTTTTTTTCTGCAAAGAAAGGGGTGAAAGTTAAGTCCAAAAATTTAAAGAGCTAGCATAATTTTTCTTTATGAACATGGAAGTAAATTCATCATCCTCTATCCAAGAGAAATTCTTAGAACTAGTAATCACATTTAGAAGCCGATTCACAATTTTTTCTCTCTCTTTAAATAACTTGTTGGGCGTATACAATTGTGACCACTATTTTTTTCCCTTTACAATTGCTACAAATTACAATGTTGACTTCTCCACAAAATTAACACAAATGGGAGCAGCAAGAAGACCATTTACATTTGTGATCTTGATCATAACTCCATCATCAAACCAAAGCAGGGGACTTTCAGCAATTTCTTCCCTCTTGAGATCAGAATACAGTGTTTTGCCTTGTAGCATAAATGCGAGCGGCAAGAGTACTAGACTGTGGCGCCGAGTTTCTCGACGTAATGGTTGGCAGCGTGCGTTTAAGCCAGGACTCGGATGGAGATTTCGGTAGAGGTGGAGCAAGTGCAAGTTGTGAAGAAATGGGCAGGGAACTTTTCGGGCCACGAGTGCTTTCGAGATCGATTTTTCCTCGAGCTGTGCGTCTCGAGCTTGTCAATGTGATTGTGTCCTGGACATGGCCATTATAATTCTCTTCAACATCTGATCCCTTTGGCACTTTGCTCTCTAAATGGAACTTTTCCCTATTGTTAGAAGAGGTTTCTGAACTTGTAAATGAGGCAAAATCCTCAGAAGAGTCATCTGAGCTTTCTTCTTGACTTGATTTTTTATGATGAAGGCTTCCTAAACTCTCTTGATTGCCCGACCTCTCTGATTGCTCGCTTGCAGAATCGACTTTTCTTTCATCCACCACTTTTGCTTTTGGTAATACCATAGCATCTTGAATAAGATCTACTTCCGAACTTGAACCCTTCGAGTTTGTTTTTGCATCGTAATAAGATGTACATGAATCCATAGACTCCATACTTTTAGATGTCAACCTTCTTTTGTTTCCATCTTCAGCATTTGAAGGCTGGACATGTTGAGATGAAGAATTCAAATGAAGTGTTTCTTTAGTTTCACTACTTCTTGTTGACTTGTCAGAATCAGCCATCAAGAACTGATCTCTTACTCCCATTTTATCCGCAGGGCTTGAATCTGAGCTTTTATACTTCATATTGTGGACAGAATCTACATACAAGGTTTTCTCGACGACGACTGGGCTCTCCAAACATGATTCATTGGCTAATAATTCGTGAAATTTGCTCCGTCCTCTGCCATGCGGTTCATTCTGCACTTTGAAACTCTTGACCCTTTCTGGGCCAGTGGGAAAAACTTTTCCTTCAGAAACGAGAGATTTCTTTAGTTTTTTCGGGTCATTCAATCGGCCTCTGAGCACACTACTCTCTTCATGTAGCTCAACCATCCGGTTCCCATCAAGTGGTTTTTCTTCAATTCTTAGATTCTATGCAAATGGGACCAGACAAAAACTCAGAGGACTTGACATGATAAAACTCCAAAGATAAACATAGAATGAATCAAGAAAAAAGTGTTGAAGTACCTTAATGCTGTTACAAGAACTATCAGTTAAATTGCCATTCTGAACTCTATGAGCTGAAGCAACAGCGGAGCCTCGCATTCTCATCCCGGGAACTGGGTGTAGAAGGCATAAGGAACCTCTCAGGCAAAAACGAGTGAACAAACCACAAGTTTTAGCAGATGAGTATTCAGATTCATCAAGATTATTATCTTCATCTTCGCTAATTTCTTTGTCGTGTGGATTCGGAGGAGCATGATATGGAAACTTCATCGGTAGTGAACTTGCTCGGTGCTCCTTATCCATTTCTACTATCTTCTTTGTCTCTCTTTGCTGCTCCTTTTGAACACTTTGCTTCTTATAAGTAACTTGAGGTGTCTCTGAAGCCAATGCCTTGGCAGCAGGCAGGAATCGTTCCATCATGAAGTCGCAAGTTTGCTGATCTTTTGCGAACGCTCCCGATGGTTTAACATTGCCTCCATCCAATCCACTCATACCAGTTACGCTGCAGCTCATCGAAAACGACTCGGACCTAGAAAGCGTGTCATTTGCTTCTAGATAAGCCTCATGACCRTCCTCCGAACCAGAACTTAAATCCCTCTCAATCCTCTCCTTCAGGGTCCTAAATTTAACTATGTTTTTATGAGAAGGGAAATGGTCAGGATTAGGAAATGCATCCCCTCCTGTGGACGACTGAGTAGCTGCTCCACTTGTAGAGCCTTTGCTACAACGCTGTTGTTTTGAATCTGAAGACATCCCGGGGGCGCGGTTCGGGCCATCGGAAGGAGGTTTAAAAGCTATGGTTTGTGACTTTCTTCCATCCTTGGGTCTTCCTGGGGCATGTTCCCATAGAAAAGGAACATTCCCCGGATTACTTACTGGGCCAGATTTCAATTCCGACTTATAGACAGGAAGAGGCGGCCAGCGGTTATCCGTTCCCGGGATATCGTTAGCTTTCGATGACGTTTCCGTGGACGAAAACCGCCTCACTGAAAGAAACGGCTGATTGAAATCCAATTGCTTGTTCTCCATCAGATTCTTCAGCTTCATACAAATATTACTACGGGATGCTAGATGGAAAAATGAAGCCTAATTCAGCAGCAGCATTGAGAAACCAAAGATAAGAAATGCAAAGAAGGAACCAAACTAAAGCTGAAAAATTACACAGAAAAAGAAGAAAAGAAAAAGAAATGGTTATGGTTACACTCTGAACTTGACCTCCATTGACCGACAAAGCATTTTGAAAATCTCCTCTGCCAAGCAATCGGTTTAATCAAAATTCAAAACAAGATGAACATGGAGGAAGAATCGTCGAGCCTCAAAAATCTCTACCAATTTTTTGTTTTCCATCACTTTCTAATGAACCAAAACAGTCTATTCAGCACAGAACAATAGCAAGAGGATTGGAATTCTACGTGGAAAAACGACATGTCCAGTTCAAGAGCGATAAGCAAAGCTCTGTTATCAGCAACAGGGAACAATGAATCCAAAATCCACCGAACAAGAAAATCAAACGCCACAACAAAGCAGCAAAAAGTGAAAAAAAGATGACCAAGAAACAACCCAAAAAGTGGGAAATTTTTAAAATAACACCACGTTTTTCCAGATTCTGATCATACACAAAGATACCCATCAATCAGAAGCAAAAGAGGATTACGAAAAGCGAACCTGTGAAATACGAGTGACCCAGAACCAGAAACGAACGAGGTTCTTTTGTTCTTTTTGTTCTTCTTTTCTGCAGAGTAGTAAATAAAAGATGAAAAACTGGGTGGGACAAAGAAGATATTCAAATAAGGGAGGATTAAACTTTAAACTTTTAAAGAAAAATGGAGGGAGGTTTAAGGATAAACTAGATTCTACGCCAGAGCTAATTACTTACTCGCACACGCCTTTAATGAAAAAGGGGGTAAGGCACAAAAAGGAAACTTTGATTTCAGTTTTCAAGAACAGCTCCAGAGGACCTTTTTCTGTGGGAAAAAAAGTGAAGATTTTTCTTTTTTCTGTTCATTTATTCTCTCTCTCATTCCACGATGAACCCATTTGGAAAGATTGATAATTGATAATGGATTTTCTTCTTCTTCTATTTCTCTTGTTCGTTTTTGCATCTTTGAAACAAAACAATAATAGTAAAATAACATATTTGGAAGTAGAGATTTTTCGGGTGTTATTCTCTGAAATTTACACGACAGTTTTTTTGGAAGTCATTGGAATTTGGAATATAATAGATCACATTTTTTTGTTCCTTCTTTTTGTTCTTCTCTGTACTGTTTAAACACATTATAAATAATGGAATGTTTTGGGTTGTATTATTTAGAAAACAGCAGATTTTTTAATTTAATTCTTCAAATGGCAATAGTTTCAAAAAGAAAAAAGTTCTTCAAGTGGCAATGATTTATAATAGGAGCTAATCAATTTGATGTGTAATTAATATATGACAATGATATCGGGATATTTTGGGAGAAAAATCTGAAATTGTCTTATTCATTTTAGTTATTAAGCATTTAGAAAAGGAAAAAAAAAATAAAGAAATGGTGATAATAGTGAATTTGTTCCTGGGTTTGATGCCAAGTAAGGTTATGGGGGTAAAGATTGTGTTCCACGTAGGCCTGACAAATCTACCACGTAGGACTGGGGATGTCAGTGAAAATAATGTCGCATCAAGGAAGCAAACAATTCCACACCGCAAACCTAGGGATTTCCAAGTTCGTATTTTAATCATTAATAATAAATTTTATAGTTTTCCCTTTTAAATAATAGGCTCTAATGTCAAATTCCCTTCCTTATATACCTCTAATATATAACATATAATTATTATTATTTTTTCTTAGATAATCAATATTCTTATTTGTTGGCGAGGTTCAAAATATATATAATATATATATTCTTATTTTTTTCTCTAAAGCATATCTTATCTATTTAAATATATGAAGTTTAAATTTATACTTTACATGTTGAACTTTTCCTTTATATATTTTATTTATTGTCGAACTAAAAATAAATAATATTATTTTTTTAAAAAGATTGTATTTATCTCTACTATTCAATTTTAATTTACAAAATTAATTATATTGCTGGGGAGGTAAAATGAGAATTTAATAATGGAACAATATTTTCCTACTAAACAAGATTTATGGTGGTTTTGGTAAATATTAGATAAGTAATTATAGATTGACTCACTTGTAAACAAAAAGATCAAGTAAATTAAAAGTATTTAAAAGGAATAGGTTCAAACCCTAATTAGATTTCTTCGAGATTAATCGAGGATCTTGAAAAGGATTATTTCATGTATTAATTGGTTGAGTTATACCCCTTGATCCATCGTACTGGAGCGATCCGAGAAGAACGCTCCACTAGATATCTCCTTCTACGACATGCTCAACAAATTTGTGGTTGAGTCAATAACATACTCTAAGTTGGAAACTTTTACCTTTTCTCTTTTGCATTTTCGATTCATATTAACAAATTTTGAATGTCTTAACTAATTAAACTATATTTAAATTGACAAAATTTGTCAAGTAATATTCAAGAATATAGTTCAACTTAGTTTAGGCATCCATCTCGAACCAAAAATCACGAGTTTGAATCCTCATTTCCACAAATATCTAGATTTTTCTTTATAGTTCCTTCAGAAGAATTTTTTTTTTTTTAATTATTCCTCACGAGTTTTTAAATATAAGAGCGGTGGTTGAATAATTATATATTAATAATTTCACGTTCCATTAATTGGCACTTTAGACCCTTGGAGCTTTTATGATAAATGTCGCCAAATGCAGTACGTTACACACTATACAGTATAAACTTTAATTACAGTAACTCCAACCATATTGTACTCAGAAAAAATAAAACTCCAACTATAATTTCTTTTTTAAATATTTTCATTTAATATACTGTCTTATAATCCCAGGAAAAGATAAACTGTATTCAGTTTAAAAAAAAAAAAAAAAAAATTCTCAATCCAAACATATTTCTAACTGTTAAAAAATTTAAAATAATACATCTATCATCAATTCAAATGTTTGAATTTTCATCCCGCATATGGTTAAAAAAATATTTAAAAATCACTTCTATGTTATTACTAGGGGTATTTTATTATTATATGAATTAATTTTACATTTTAGTCGAAGATGTATATCTTAACTAATTGAAATTTACTTAAGAAATATCATTGATTAATTTAAAACATTAGTGACCTTCTTTAAAAATTAGAAGCTTTTTGTTTGAATTAAGAAATAAATATGATTTGTTTCAAAATATATATATATATATGATTCATTGATTCATTACACCTTTTTTCAAATTAAATTAAATAAAAATTTGAAAACTCCCACTATTGCTTAAAAACACAAAATGACACTCACTTTACACCTCATTATTGCATATCATGCCAACCTAATTATCAACTTTATGATCCATTTATTTCCCTGGGTGAAAATTTTGAATGCTGATGTACTATAATTTGCTGTGAAATCCCAATTTTGTCCTCTATCTTCTTCATTGAAAGATGGGTATTTTCTGAATTTCCAATTTTAAAAATCATACGAAAAGGATATCTTGATTAGGCTAATGGATTAGGATTACAAATCACTATCAACAAGTTTTAAAGGGTCGGAAGGAGCATGATACAGTGATAATTGACACATATTTCCAATACATTGTAAGTTCGATCCACACCCTATATATTGTACTAAAAAAGTATTTTAAAGATGTGTTTAAGAGTTATTTTGACCGCCAGTTCGACTATAAAATCAAATATCACGAAAACTTCAAGAAATAATTTTAGGTGGTAACAAATATTTTTCACTATTCTAAATGAGTCATCTCAAATCCACTCTTAGTCCCTTCTTTCTAAATACTTAATTTATTTTACAAAAAATAAAACAAAATTTTAATGTGTAAATATGATTCTAAACACACTTTTAAATGATATTTCACTAATTTAATTCTTTAATCGGTGAAATCAACTCTTCGCCTTTCCAGTCAATTGTGTTAAAACCTTCTCAATTCAATTGTTTGTCAATTTTTTTTCAAGGGGATAGCAGTTTCAGCATTTTGCTGCCACTAAAAAAAATATGGCATATATTACTACAAAATTGCTCATTCTAGTTTAAAAAAAAAAAATCTAAAACTACAATTTTTGATGCCAATAAAAATGGAGGAAAAAGGTTCTAAAGAGTCTTGAATAGATTCATTTCAAAATTTGAAATTTGCATGAAAGATGAGTTGAAATGATTAAAGTGCCATGGTGCCCAAAAAAATAAAAAGTTCCCATCATTATTGCAATAACATGGCAGCAAAAGAATCATATGGAAGATTAATTTGCCACTTATAATATAAAAATGATGGGTTGATTCAGATATATATAAAGCATGAAGTCCACGTAGGCAATTGCTTATTTTCAAGCACCCGATGTAGAATCTCCTCATATCTTCAAGAGAGATTCATTTCTTCAAAGATCATCAAAGTGTAATCAAATTGATTTGCAATTGCCTTTTTCAAGAGAAATGTTCTCCAAAATTCATCTATCATAAAGTATAGTTTTATAAATCTACTGTTCCTTAAATTCATGGGGACAATTTTGCCCCGTGTCAATGCCTTCTTGCAATTATGAAGCGCTTGGGAAAATAGGACGTGATCAGGTAAAGTCACATCTTGATGTTACTTAATAAATATCAATATTTCATACTTAATATTTTGTAATGTCATATTGTTCTTTTTTTATGGGTAAATAAGTAAATTTTGAATGGATTTATTCGTTTCTTAAGTATTTTGAGTCATTACATATGTGTGTATTTTTTTTTTAAATAATTGCAAAAGATATCTTTCTAAAAATGTTGTTCTAAGATAAAAGATTAATGGGATGGGGAGGTGGGAATTGATAAAGATAAAAAGCTTGTTGTTTTAATTAAAAATGATATTAAATTTTATTATTGTTTTGTTTAAATAGTGATAGACTAAATTAAATTTATTATTATTTTAATTTGTTAACAGAATTTTTAGTTAATATATTTATAATTATCTAAAAATAAAAATGAGTATTATAATAATTGTTATGTATGATATTCTAATTTCAAACAAACATCAATTAATTTGTTATCTCACTTTCATTAAATTTTATAACATCCTCATTTCAATTAATTTACTTAATGGTCGACATAAAATCTCAACAGGGCCACAAAAGCATAGCCCACTTTCACTGAAGGCCCAAGCAATAACTTTCTCGTCCTATTAATATTTAAGATTAAATATGAATTTTGAATATAAATTCTTAATTTAGTCTCATTTTTATTCACAATTAACTTTTAAGATTTCATATTTAATCCTTCGACTTATTTTAAATTTCATATTAAAATTAAATAACAAAGAACAATATGACCTTTTTTTAAAAAAAGAATAATATGACATTTAGAGTTTGGTATTTTATATGAATTAACAGAAAATTGACGTTAAATTTATACTTTACCTTAATTAAATTCTTAAATGCAATTGATCCTGCTTAAATTTTAAAATTCATCCCATAAGATATTATCACCAAATATCTTATACATATAATTCAATCAAATATTAGTATATATAGTACTCTGAAACATTACATCATCATTATTCTATTATTCTAACTCTATATATGTTATCGAGTAAGTATTTGATTACAAATATTTAAGTCTAAAAAGATCCATCTTCACCAAAAAAAAAAACAAAAAAAATCAAGTTGCCATTTTTAGAACATTGGAGACAAAATAAAAAATTTATATTTGAAAAAATGAAAAATCAGACAAAAAATGAGCACTAGTGGCTAATTAGGAAATCGGTGTCACACCCAACTCCTTTACGTAATCTATATAATTGTATTCCACATAATGATACCAACCGCAAATATAAGCCTAATGTCATCAACAAACTTTGACTATAATTTATATTTCAACTATTTCCATTTTTAGTCGTCACCAATAATAATATACATATAATTAAATTATTATATCCGCCGAAACGAGTTCCACTAATAATATCTAAATTTATACCATAGTTATAAATGAGCTGGTGAAAAAAAAAATTGTATAAATATTTTGAAGTTGTTTGTTTGTCTATTTATAT